AGATCCAAAGGATCCTCTTTCGTAATATATTCATCTTTTAAACCATCATGTATGTGGTGTCGTAAAAATATCATGGCTTTAGCCTTTTTCTCATCCGACACTGTTTTTGTATTATCGATGGTTTCCAATAGCCCGTTTCCTCTCAGGTGCATCTTTGCACCTACTGCCCAGGTCATATAATTATTTCCCGTAATATCCAAGGCATTTATTTCGAGCTTTGTCAGATTCGACATGATAACTGTATAGTATATAAAATATATCATAAGACAGAATTTTAAATGCAGAAATTAAAAGCATAAACTTAAAGGCATAAATTTAAAGGCATAAAATAAATTGCAGAAATTTAAATTGCAGAAATTTAAAAACATAAATAAAAGTGGAGGCTTAGCCTTCCAAATGATCCGAGGAGACTTAGTCTACCATGTTGATCACTTTCATTTTTATCAAAGATCCGAGGTGACATAGTCATCCATTTAGATCTTTTTATTCACGGAGGCAAAGCCTATCACGTGTTTCTCTGATCGTGACGGCATAGCCATCTTATCGATCAGTCGGGGAAGGCAACGCCTATCATCCCGAAAAATAAACGGAGAAGGCCTAACCTCTTACTCCGAAACAATAATAAAATTAAGATAATTAAAATTATTGAAAGACATAAATTAAACCTTACCTCACCGGTATAATCTTATTTGATATAGGATCAGAGCTTCGTGCTGATAACGTGTTGTATAATATTGTGAGGAAGATATTATTTTGTCTATATATTATATTATATATTTCTTTCTTGTGAGAGATGTGAGTGGACGTAAAATAAAGAGTGATGTTTTTTTTATTGATTTCAGATCACCTACACAATATAAGAGAGAGAGAGCCTTATTTATAGGAGAAAAAGAATACATGCAGATTGACGTGTGGGGGAGATGATGGTGCAAGGAGGATTAATAAAAAGACAAGTGTAAATGACTAGCATAGCTATCTTTGAGACATTTGTCTCACAAATGATTAATCATCTTTTATAACAATTTGTACATTCTTTTAGGATTTTGGGCTAATTAACTCAAGAAAAAATAACACCACATTTTTATTTATTTTTATTCATATGCAAACCGAACGAAAAAGAAAGTAGTCAATCAACATTCCAGAGCAAAAAACAAAACTGATGTTTCTTCCTTTTTTTCTCCACACTTGCTCTTGTGTTCCTTTATTGATACTACTTACTAGTGGTTGAGGTTTCTCTAGGTGGTCGCACGATGAGAATAGGGCATTTGGCATGTTGAGCACAGTAATCACTCACACTCCCTAGAAAGGCCCTGCATGCATATATCCCAAACTAATGTTCAAAACCGTTGCCGAAACACACTAATGTTTTGGGAATACAAATATCAAAGTCATAGACCTTTTGATCATGCCAAGTCCACGGCTACCAACAACAAGAAGATCCACATGGGTTTGCTCGACTGCTTGACATATCATCTCCTTTGGATCTCCTTCCAATATCATCGTCTCCGTCTTCACCTAAAACCACAGAACCAAATCTCAAAAGAGTCTCTCAACTTACCCAATGCAATAAGTATATTGTATATAAATGCTTTGGTTACCCTGAATAGAAATAGAAAATGAACTATTCAATTTTTTTTCTAGCATTTTCACTTTTTCCTAAGGGAAAAAAGAGATATCTGATACGATGATACCTATGTGAAATATGGAATATCGATGTACTTATTTTAGTGAATTGAAGGTTTTGGATCCAAAAACCCGGCCATATATCTCCCTAGAAAATCGAACCATTTGGAAATCAAATCTATGTTTTCTTAGACCTTAAAAACATCAGAAACAACAGCTTTAGTCATTAGGACAACTTCTTGTTAGTCAACACATATATATCAACTACATATATTTTCGTATATGTATTACATATCACGCACCATTTTGCCACGACATATCTCCAATGACCGTGTGAACAACTTGGCCGTGCTCTCTTCTCGTGCTTTCTTCATTGATTCAGGAACTGAATCTGTCGCATACACAGCCGAAGCTACCAATTTTCAAATCCAATCAATATGTATATGGGAATCAGTTCCCCATAATTTATCCATATAATTTTATTATAAAAATGAACAAGAGATGATGTTTGTTTCACCAGTTCCACCAGAAGGGTAGATATATTGAAGGTAGGTTGGATGAACATGAACCAAAGTAAGTAAACCGCCTGGTTGATCGGTTTCCGGTTCGGCACTAATAACATCTCTGAGATGTTCCACTGCCCATTCCAACGCGTAGAAGCTATTCTTGCTTTCATCCATCGCAACCATAACGTTCAACTTCTTTTTGTTCTGCTTCCCCATCGTCTCCGTCGTTGTTGTAGCTGCTGTGTCCACACCAGTCGCATCAACGTAAGTCTCCATATGTTTATCCGTACGTTTTCTTTTCTTATTGTATTGTATGGTTTAATTTGTTTATTTGGCTTTAGCCACTACTTTGATGTGTTTTTTTCATGAAATATATTGTATCGTGCGGTACGTAACGCTAGTATGCATAGTGAGCAGGTGGAAGCTGGAGATTGACAGATGTTTTATGATGGATTTTTGGATTGACACATTTCATTTGTGATGGAGACGTGTCTTGTTCCTAACGTAGATAACGTTTCTTTTGCATGTTCAATGAATCGATAAAACTTTATAGTAAAAAAGACTTTTTTTTGGTTTAGATTCGAATATGGTTCAGTTACTATTACCGCGTTTAACGGTGTAGCCACTACTTAGATGTGTTTTTTTGGTTTTGCAGTGTCTTTGGTTCTTCTCCTTTGCTCAAAACATCAACTTTCTCTATTAAACCACAGCTACATTTACAAAGGTTTATTTTGTTGAACACAAAGTAAACCACCACCATAAAATACAATTTAGGAGCACAAATTAAACGTTCTGAAATTTGGTTTCTCTAGAATTTATAAAAAAATATTTGTGTGTTGCTGTCCTTTTAACTGTTAGTTTTTAGTTTTCGTATGATTAATAAATCAGTTTTATCTTTTATCTATATTTTTGTTTGTGAAGTAGTTTTTCACATTCGAATTCTCATATTAAAATTTAGACTGGTTAATATTGTTGTTATCTTTAATAAATTTTATTATATAACTAAAAGGAATTTTATAATAATAATATCAAATTTATATGTTATATTGGATAAATCATTATATCAATACTTTTTTCGAAATGATTTTTTGTAACAGAACTCTCACGTTAAAGTTAGAGAAGTTAAAATCATTATTATCTTTGATAAATATTTTTATTAATAATATTAAATTTATATGTTATATTAACTATTAACTGATTATAAATTAATATGATAAACTGTCAAAACAAAAATATATATATTTTTTTAAAATGTGTATATATATTGTGTTGTTAATTGAAAACAATATTTGTCTATTACAAGTTAAAAATAAAGATAGAAAACAAGGCAAGTTAAATATTAATCAAGCAATAACATTTGTACAAAGATAGGTTCTAAAATATTTCTAAATGCGAGTGTTTACAAATTTTAACAAAATAAGTATATACATTTAATAAAATTTCATATAATAATTTGATATTTAGTTTAAATTTTTTTTAAAAAAACAAGTAATATTTTATCAGTTTTCAAATTTATAAAATATAAACTAATTAATAAATATTCGTAAAAGAATTATGTTCGCATGAGCAAATTTATGTTCTCAGTGTTTTCTAAAAAGGCAAAAACCAAGAACTATAATTTGAAATAAAAACCTTACATAAAAAAGGACTAAGATAGAAAAAAAAATCTATTATATTAAAAGAGAAGTCATGACTCACTTTATGTGTGATTTTTTATTTGGACTTTCCTTAAAATTTTTATGAAATTTTACATAACATCATTATAATATCTTTTCATATCTTTCATTTTTATTTGAAATACAAATAAATAATTTTAAGAAAATTCTAACTAAATCTTTTAAAAATCTTATAGAATCTTTTCAAGATATAGTTTCAAAATTATTTGATTAAAAATTTAATTATCATAGAATATAATTAAAACTTTAATTCATTTTTTATTTATAAACAAAAAAAATTAAAATTATGTAATATACTTTTAAAAATATCCCAAAAATTTGTTTATATATTATGTAGGTCCAATTTAATTTACTTTTTATATATATTTAAAATTTAGAAATAAAACAAAATATATAAATTAGTAATGTTACATAATAATGTTTTAAAAAATTGTTACAAAAATACAAATTTATAAATTTTAAATTAATAATATTATAAGCCACATACATATTATTATAAAATTGGATAGTATATACAATCAAATTATATTTATTTATTGATAAATTTTACTCCCTCTGTTTCTTAATATATGATGTTTTGGATCATTGCACAAAAAAGATAAGAAATTTACATTCTTTTACGTAAGTATTTTTAAAGATATAATTTTATAATCATTCAACCAAATATTAAAAAGAGTAAAATTTTATCGGTTGAACAGTTTCCAATAAAGTTAAAGATAACTTTAAAACCTCAAAATATACCTTAAAATCTCAAAACATCTTATATTTTGAAATAAAATAAATCTTTTAAAACATCATCTATTTAAAACGAAGTGGGTATTATATAATTTCAAATATTTTCGTATTAATATACCCGCACGGTTGTGCGGGTCGAGATCTAGTTCTAGGATTAAAACTTTTATTTTGTGCAACGTCTAGGATTAAAACTAAAACCGGTTAATTATGGTTTGAATTAGATTAATGGAATTATGGTTTGGTTAAGTTTTTCTCCTCGGGTTATTGTCTCTCTCCCTTTAAACCATAAACCCTCCCTATACAGATTCAGACATCGTTACGGTTCCTGACTTCATATCAATGGGAGAGCAAATGGAGAAGAAGTTCACTTGGGTTTCACAAAACCTATCCTATTGTCAAAGCAACAAGTGCTTCTCTCGCCCTTTCTCTCTCGCCGGCTGCAACTGGTAACAGAGAGAAACCGTTTTCCTTACTTACATTTTCTTGTTCTGTTTTTGGGGTTTGGAATTTGAGTTTGTTTTTTTGTACAGGTACCTCTCTGCTTCTCCCTCTGATTATGATAAAGGAGACTACTTGTGCCTGAATCTAGAACTTGAGCCTGAATCTTTGACTCGAGGATGGAGCAGAGACGTGAAATTTACCTTCACTCTTGTGAACAAGGGTTGGCGTTATACTAACAAAACATTAGGTGATATTTCTTGTTATTTTTGAGTTCAAGTTCTGTAGTAGTAGAATCTCTGTGCTCGCTTTAAGTAAAGTTTAAATCTTTTATGGTCGAAATTCATGTTCATTATTGATGAGACAGTTTCTCGGACATGACAGGAATGCAGCGCTGTTTCGATGCAAAGAATAATGTTCATGGTTTTGAAGAGTTCTTGCCCCTTTCGAAACTTTGGGACACACGTGAAAGATTTATGGTGAATTACAGACTCATTGTCATCGCTGAGATACATGTTTTACCAGCTATTGCTGTAACAAATGAACCCGTGAAGTCGATTACTGAACCTCTTAACTGCAAAGTAGAAAACCAGCCTGTTGCTAATGCATCTGCCATCAGACCTCAGGGAGACTCTTCATGTCAAGTGGTGCAAACAGTTGAGACTGTGTCTAAAGAGAATTTACATGTTAATGATGTGGTTGCTAATGATGATTCAGCTGGCGAGGGTTCAGATGATGATGATGACACGTCTGAAGAAGCCTCAGATGGTGGTGATTCATCAGAAGAGAAGCTAGATGATGATTATGATGAAGATGGTCCTTTAAGCCGATCAAATGCGTTGGAGGACGTTTCTCCTACAATGGGAAACCATGTTGTAAGTTGTAACGGTTTGGCAGCTGAGGCTGAGGTTTCCAACGCACCTAAAGAAGATATTGGTGATGAGGCTTCATCTCTTGTTTCGAATGATAGTGCTAGAAACGAAAATAGTGGCGGTAGGGGGTTTAACAATGTGGTATCTGTTACTGAGACCGGTAGTAGTGTGCTTAAGGAGATTCAACCAGTAAAGGAAACAACAGATGTCAATGGCTTTGAGGTTTTTTCTTCTCAGGTAAGTAAGAACCTGTTCTATACATCATATGTTCCAGTCTCTTATTTTCATGGTAAAGTATTTTCTTTTACGTTGTTTATTGGCTAGCAGGTAGAGTTAGTGAGCTATATATTCAAAAGACACCCAGACATAGCATTAGGCTTCCGTCCAAAGAACCAAGAGATCAGAAGAGCTTACATGAATGAACTCCTTAGCCTCATTGAGACGCTGTGTCAGTCACCAGAGAAGCTCTCCGAGGATGATCTAAGGAATGCTGATGACACGCTGGCTGATCTGGTTGATGTCGGATTTAAATTAGATTGGCTGAAGATAAAGCTGAATGAGGTCACTGAGAAGAAGATGGAACAGGGTAGTGAGGCAAGGTTAAAAGCAGTGGATGAAGAGTTGCAGAAGCTGAAACTGATGTTCTTGGATCTCGAAACTCAGGTACAGATGGAAAAGGCGGAGGCTTTGGCTGCAAGAGCTCCTCTCTCATTCAACGATGTTGTTTACTGATTTGCGAGGATTCTTGTAGATGAATCGTTTTTTCTTTTGATGTCTAGGAACTAGTCTCAAGTTCATAACTCTTATGTAAGGCACTTATGCCAGTTTAGAGTATTATTCAGAGAAAACAATAACATTTATCTTTATCTCTAATCTCTCTCTCTCTCTACCCTCTCTCATATGCTCCACCTCCTTGATAAGTACAGAGCTGAGTTGGCACAGGAGGACTCATTGAGTAGAGATGTGCTGAGGGCACTGCGGCAACAACTTGAGAGTCAAGAAACAGAGACGGTTAGGAGACAGTATAAATAGACTTCCTTACCTTTGTTGAGAGATATCTCGTAATTGGGATCATTAGGCAAATCAGAGGAATGTATGTCTTCAGAGAGGTTTCTCTCTAAATTTGAAGAACCTGGCGTTAGGGGTTCATAGCCTTCTCGTCTTGGTATTGTTATGGTTCATACAATAAGCATAAGATCGTCTTTTCCATTTAGAGTCTTATCACTCCATTTCAACCTAATCCACCTAATAAGTTGAAAGTTACGAACTCTTTCAACCATATTCAGCATGAGGAGCCATAAAAACACAGCAACGATCCTATTTAGAAAGTCCCAGCGAAGCCTCTAAAAGAATAAGAGTCTTTGCCGTCCATGCCACATCATCCTCAGTCAACAGAGGTATTGACTTTCTCTGTATTTATCACTGTCTTAACTCTTAAGACAGAATTATTCTCTCTTGACTTCTTTCCACTGTACTGTAGGTGACTCCAGGGAACGCATCGCGAGCATCTGGATTTCAGCTCCCTAAGGTGACCTTCTCTTCTCTACTAAATCACCTAACCTTCGAGTTCTCGGTGAGCTCTTAACTTGTTACTCTGTCTCAGATGTCCTACAACCAACCAAGACCGGGCAGAAGCGATAATCAACAACAGTACCGGAGAACTGGGAGATCCACCGCCGGCTACCATCAGCAGCAACAACCTCACCAATCTTCCCCCGCCGGTTACGGTAGGGGAGCTGCCACCGCTAACGTTGATCCTTCCTCTAATCGCAGGTAACTCTCAGCAGATCAATTTTTGAAACTCGAATAGAAAGTTTCATCCTTTTTTAATTGCAGTTTCAAGAAGCCTAGCAATTCTTCTCAAGGAGGAGGGAATCAGGCTAGGGTGAATCATTCAGTTCCTAACAATCATAATGGTCCCACTGTTCAGTCTTGCTCTTCTCAAGGTATGTTCTTTGTTGGGGAAAAGGTCATTTTTCGACCTCAACAATTTCGATCGTGTGTTTTCATACCTGAAAAAAGAGGTCTCACTCAAGCAACAAAGGAAACAGAGATGTGCTACTGCTACTCTATTTGTAATGAAACAGATTTTTATTAGTTTAAAACATTTATAATCTTTTGAAATATATCAATAACTAATAACTCATATATCATTTCATTATATATGTATACAAAATTTAATATATAAAATGTATATTAGTTAAAAATTAATCTTTATAAAACATATACATATTTTAATATTAATTGTGAAATAAAACAATAATTTTGATAAAACAAATATGTTAAAATGTTAAATTGTTGAATAAATTTTAAATTGTTCAATAAATGGTAAATTTTAAATTGTTCAATAAAAAAATATATAATTACATGTATACATTCATTTATATATGTATATTATATTATCAAAATTATTGTTTCATTTCACAATTAATGTTAAAATGTATATATGTTTATCAAAATTAATATCTTATTAATATACATTTTATATATTATATTTTGTTTACATATATAATGAAATGATATATGAGTTATTAGTTATTAATATATTTCAAAAGATTATAAATGTTTTGAAGTAATAAAAAGCGAGTCGTTTAAGCTTTCCTTGAATCGAACTCAGGTCTCAGGTCTTGTGTGACACCTGAGTTCGATTCCTTGAAATGACTATTTTTTAGAATATTTATTTATTCAATTCGGAACAGAAAAGCGAGTCGTTTAAGCTTTCCATTCAAAATTAATGATTAGTCAAAGTAGAATTTTATATTACGCTGTAAAGTTTGGGTAGAAATTTTTAAAAATGTAACGGTTTAGGTATGAATTCGTACTTCCTCTTTTTTAAGGTATGAAAACACACGATCAAAATTGTTGAGAAAAATGACCTTTTCCCTTCTTTGTTGTGTGCCCCTTGTAAATTTGGGTTCCAACACCCCTTTTGGTTAAGCTCACGTTTTATTTTACACGGTTGGTTACAGGAGCGTCTGGTGAATCAGTTACTGGTGGACCGGCCAGTGGAGCTATTCCAAAGGGTCCAACTTCTCAGTCTCCCACCATGAACACAGCTAAAGGTAGGATGACTTTTAAAAAAAAAATTGTGTGTTGTGTGTAGAGTGTGACTTAATATGAATTGTATGATTTAAAAAAAAAAAAAATTCTCAGTCCCTGGAGACGCTTCTAAAGGATTTGCTTTCCAATTTGGGTCACTTGGTCCTGACTTAATGAAGGTATGTTGTTACTCTCTTCCTTCCTTTTTGTTTGTTTATTGATTAGAAACACTTTGTACACCTCTTTTTTTGTTTGTTTGCTTTGTCCATTGACACCTTAATCATCTCTACTGTTGGGATTCTAGATTCCTGCGCGGACCAGCTCAGCTCCTCCACACTTTGTATATTTTTTGCCTACTTGATTGATTCTTGTTTATGTATGTGATAATGAATAGTCTGTGTTTCTGACTCAAAATTCTTGCTGATTCTTATATGATGATGAATAGCCTGATTCCCTGTTTTTTTATTTATTTCAGTTAAATTGGTGACTTTGTCTTTTGTTTAAGACAAAATTACACATTGTTTTGCAGATGCAGCAGGCTGCTGTAAGAACGGCCGCCCCGAATTTACCAGCTTCGGTACCTAAAAAGGATTTACCAAACAAGGCTGCAGATAATCAACTGATGAGGAAAGAAGGGCACAATCCATCAAGTGAAAAAGCTGATGTCCATGTCCAACATACACCACCTCCAAGTCAAACGCACAAGTCTCCACTTACGAATATCCGTATGCCTTCGTTGCAGACACCTTATCAGCATCCTCACCCTGTGCATTTCGGTGGCCCCCCAAATATGCACATGCAGCGTCCCAATGTGGCTCCAGCCTCCTTTCAGATGCCAATGGCATTATCTATGGGCAATACACCTCAGATCCAGCAGCAGGTGTTTTTTCAAGGCCTCCCATCACATCCCATGCATCATCAGGGTATGATGCATCAGCCTCAGGGACATGGTTTTACAGCTCCGATAGGTGCTCAGATTCATCCTCAGTTGGGCCACGTGGGTGTGGTTGCGTCTCATCATGAACACGACTCGTATCCTACCCCTGGAAAGGTTATGGATTGTCAAAGGAGTAGTGGTCGATCAGATCGTCGTCCCAGCACTATAGTTGTTGATGATAGATGGGCGAAGAATCAGGATCCTCATCCTGCAGGATATGGAGGTTCCCGACCTAGTCAAGGAGGAAACTCAGGAGTTATAAGAAATCCTCGTATGCAGGGACCTGTTATGTCTAGACCGATGCGACATGTGGGTCCTATGGGAGGAATGGGTAGAAACACTCCCGACTTAGAAAGGTGGCAACGTGGTTCAGATTTCCAACAAAAAGAACTTTTTCCTTCTCCGCATACTCCTATGCAGGTGATGCACGAAGCCGAGAGAAGATACCAAGTAGGTACAGTTGCAGAACAAACAAAACAAAAGAAATTAACGGGCATCTTGAACAAGTTGACTCCGCAAAACTTTGAGAAACTGTTGAAGCAAGTTACAAGTATCAACATTGACAACGCTGTTACGCTTATTGGTGTAGTTTCACAGATATTTGACAAAGCCTTGATGGAGCCAACCTTCGGTGAGATGTATGCAGAGTTATGTTTCCATCTGTCTGGGGCGTTACCTGATTTTAATTGGAATGGTAAACGAATTACCTTCAAAAGATTGCTTCTCAATAAATGTCAGGAGGAATTTGAGAGAGGAAAGAAAGAAGAGGAGGAAGCCAGTAGAGTTGCTGAAGAAGGACAAACTGAGGAGGAAAGGGAAGAGAAGAGACTAAATGTTCGGAAGAGAATGCTCTGTAATATTAGACTTATTGGTGAGTTATACAAGAAAAGGATATTGACTGAGAAGATCATGCACGCATGCATCCAGAAGTTGCTCGGGTATGATCAGGAGGATCCACATGAAGAGAACATAGAAGCTCTGTGTAAACTAATGAGTACGATAGGAGTTATGATCGATCATCATAAAGCTAAGGTCCATATTGATGCATATTTTGACAGAATGAAAATGCTATCATGCAAACAAGAATTGTCTTTTAGGGTCAGGTTCATGTTAATGTATGCCATCGATCTGAGGAAGAACAAATGGCAGGAGAGAATGAAAGTTGAAGGGCCAATTCCAGATACAGTCGGATAAAACAGATGAGAAGATTGGGGTTACAAGGGGGGGTGGTGGTAACGAAGAGATGAAGGATTTGGGGAGATCAAGCTTGCTCAAATGTTCAGAATATGGTGGAGAAAACTGGGTTTCTGATGGGAAGGGATGTGTCTGGTTCGGTTTTGAAATGTTGTGTACGTCTAGAGATGTGGGAGTTAGTGGTAACTTTGATTTCCAGTGATGATGCACCTAAAGAAGATATCGATGATGAGGCTTCATCTCTTATTTCGAATGATAGTGCTAGCAACGGAACCTCTCTGGACATATAGAATCAGTGAGCTATATATTCAGAAGACACCCAGACATAGCATTAGGTTTCCGTCCAAAGAATCAACAGATCAGAAGAGCTTACATGAATGAACTCCTTAGTCTCATGGAGATGTTGTGTCAGTCACCAGAGAAGCTTTCCCAGGTTGATCTGAACAATGCTGATGACACACTATCTGATATGGTTGTCGGTTGATGTTGGCGTTAAGCTGGATTGGCTGAAGACAAAATTGAATGAGGTTTCTGAAAAGAAGCAGGAAAAGGTTAGTGAGTCTCGGCTACAAACAATGGAGCAAAAATTGTAGAAGCTGAAGCTGATGATCTAGTGGAAGCAGACATGGCACTGACTTACGTGAAAGATTCATGATTTAGGGTGGATTGTCTTGAGAAGAAGATGGACCAAGTAAAAGAAAAGAAGAAGAAAGAGCTGTCTGATTTAGCCATACACCAAAAAACAGAGGACAATTTATTGAAGCTGAAGCTAAAATGTGAAGAGTTTGAGGCTCTTACGGAGGAGCATAAGGCCAGCCACTAGAATTCCTTTGTCTTTTAATGATGTTGTTTGATGACTTGTTTGGTTTTATGGTATCGAAATCTCTTTATTGGTTTCCAAAATAAGAGATCATTGTGAGGGATAAAATTCATCTCCTAATTTTTAAATCAGGTTAAGATTGGAGAAAAGATAACGTGGCCTGAATCCTATTTAGAACTTGTAGAATGAATATGATTGTATTTAATGCTTTTGGTAAAAGAATGATTACAAAGATAATTTTGATGGTTACAAAGAATTCTGGTACGAGAGATGCTGAGAAGAAGACTGCGAAGAAAGATGGTCAAGGAAGGCAACATGGTCAGAGGAGGAGTAGTCAACATGGTCAACATTCTGCTGGTTTGATGGGATCCAAAAACCCATCAAAACAGTATCCATGAGGACACTCAGTTGGAACTGTCGAGGGATCAGAAACGACCTTACAGTTCGACGCCTTAAGGAGATGTGTCAGAAGCATCGCCCAGGACTAGTGTTTCTTTCTGAAACGATGAACAGGAGGCTGCTGTTGCAAGACATTCAGGCCGACGTAGGATTTGATCATTTGTATACTGTTGAACCACTTGGTCTCAGCGGAGGTTTAGCGTTATTTTTTATGGATGAATTTCAAGTTAATGTTTTATTTTCGAATAACAGAATGATTGACATTGATGGAATAAAAGTCTATATGACGTTTATTTATGGGGATCCTGTATTAGAACGAAGAGATCTAGTTTGGGAACGTCTTACGCGTTTCTCAACGACAAGGAATGGACCATGGTTTATGATAGGTGACTTTAATAAAATTACCTGTCATGAGGAGAAGGAAGGAGGCAGACGACGCAATGATACCTCATTCTTACCTTTCAAACAAATGCTGAGTGATTGCGGTATGCTGGAATTTCCTTACACAGGGAACATGCTTTCATGGGTAGGAAAACGAGCAGGGAACACTACTGTTAGATGTCGTCTTGATAGAGCGGTTGGAAATGAGAACTGGCACGAGAAATTCCCTCATTCCAAAGTGCAATATATGAGGTTTTGGGGATCGGATCATCGTCCGATCCTGGCTGATATTCTGAAAAAAAAGCCGCGAAGGTCAAAAAACTTTAAATTCGATAAAAGATGGCTGGATAACGAGGAGCTCAGGCAAATAATTCTTGAAGGGTGGAAATCACCTGATCTTCCACCCGATGCGAGTATCATGGAACATATTGCAAGTTGTAGGCGAGCCTTATGCGAATGGAAAAGGCAACATAATATGAACTCAGAGAAAAGTGTAGAGGAGTTGAAGGAAAAGGTTGATCGATTATCCTCGAATGATGATGCCACTACGGAGGAGATTGCAGCAGCCTTAAAGGAACTTTCTGACGCTCTTAAGGCGGAGGAGATGTTCTGGAAGCAAAAGTGTAGGGTATTTTGGTTGAGGGAAGGCGATAGGAATACTAAATTTTTCCACGCCCTTACAAAGCAAAGGAGATCAAGGAATAGGATTACACAATTTCTGGATGAAGATGGGAACGTTGTGGAGGATGAGGAAGGATTGGTAGCCATTGCTACGAGCTATTTTAGACACATCTTCCAATCATCAAATCCGGAGGCAATAGAGGAGGCACTTTCTGAAGTATCAACGACAATTACATTATCAGATAATGAGACTTTAACAGCTCCAGTCACTGAATGGGAGGTTAAAGTGGCTCTTTTTGCGATGCACCCAGAAAAAGCCCTGGGACCAGATGGAATGACGGCGCTTTTTTACCAGAAATTCTTGGATGTTGTTAAGGATGATTTAACTCTTATGGTTAATCAATTCTTATTTGAAGGGACGGTGCCGACTGGGTTAAATGATACCAACATATGCCTCATTCCAAAAGTGGATAAGCCAAATCAGATGAGCCAGTTACGCCCTATTAGCTTGTGCAACGTTAGCTATAAGATTATCTCTAAGGTCTTATGTCAGAGATTTAAAAAATTTCTACCAGACAGAATCTCAGAGACCCAGTCAGCCTTTGTTGCTGGGAGACAGATATCTGACAATATAATGATAGCCCAAGAGTTGTTTCACGCCCTCAGAACAAAAGAAATAAGAGGATGGCTATCAAGACAGACATGAGCAAGGCATACGATAGGATGAAATGGTCCTTCATTGAAGCCACCATGAGAAAAATGAGATTTTCTGACGTCTGGATATCTATGATAATGAGATGCGTCACATCAGTAAAGTATAAGGTACTCATGAATGGGCAGCCAAGAGGGAATATAGTCCCGGAGAGAGGTCTAAGACAGGGGGATCCTTTGTCCCCTTTCATTTTTATTCTGTGCACGGAAGCGCTCGTTAGCCTTCTAAATCACGCAAAGAGTCAAGGAAAGATAACATGGATGCGCATCACGCGTGCGTGTCCCTCGGTATCCCATCTTCTCTTTGCTGATGATAGTCTGTTTTTCTGTAAGGCGGAGCCCTGTGAATGTGAAGAAGTAATGAAAGTGGTCAAGGTATATGGACAAGCTTCAGGACAATGTATTAATTTTGATAAGTCTTCTTTACTCTTTGGTAAGAGAATTGGCCAAGATGTGAGACAAGAGATCAAAGACACACTTATGATCCAAAATGAAGGAGGGATGGGGACCTATTTAGGTATACCAGAGGATATCAGTGGGTCCAAATGTAAGCTTTTGCGTTTTTAAAGGACAAGCTGCGACATAGAGTGAATGGATGGACTGGCAGATGGCTTTCTAAAGGCGGGAAAGAAGTTATGATAAAATCAATCCTGCTAGCTCTACCGACGTATGTAATGTCTTGCTTTCTTCTCCCATTGGAGATTTGTGAGAATCTAGCTAGTGCCATTGCACAGTTTTGGTGGAGCTCAAATCCGCCAAAGAGGGGTATTCATTGGTCGACATGGAACAAATTATGCTTACCGAAAGAAGAAGGCGGAATTGGCTTTAGGATGATTCATGAGTTTAACCTTGCGTTACTTGCAAAGCAACTATGGAGACTGGTGCAGAACCCGGATTCTCTGGTAGCTCGCGTTATGAGAGGCCGATATTACAGATTGACTATGCCCTTGCGTCAAATTAATGCTAGCAGCCCATCTTACTTGTGGACAAGCATAACGGCCGACAGAGAGTTGTTATTATTAGGAGTCAGACAAAAGGTTCACTCAGGATATGAGGTTAAAGTTTGGGAAGATCCTTGGATTCCTACTATACCTGCGAGACTTGCTTCTCCTTTGGCACCGGTTCTGCATCCAAATATGCGAGTGAGTGATTTGATTGATCAAGCAACGAAGAGTTGGGATGATAGGAGACTACACGATTATGTTGCGGCAGCTGATATACCATTCATTAAAAGTATGGCCATTAGTTCAACGCATCGACGAGACACGTACTGTTGGAGCTATACGAAGACTGGACAGTATACAGTCAAATCTAGATATTTGGTAGCACGAAATATTTTGTGGAAGGAAGACGAACCTGAAGTATGTGAACCCAGTATCACAAAGCTTCAAGCACATGCTTGGAAGGTCAGGGCCCCTCAAAAGATTTGCCATCTTATGTGGGAACTGATTACAGGACATGTAGCTGTCACGAGCATATTAAACTATAGACACATGAGATGTGACAATCACTGTCCTCGCTGTGGGGAACCCGAGGAGACGATCAATCATGCAATATTTGAATGCCCACCTACAATACAAGTTTGGGCACTATCATCTACGCCAACCAATCCCGCTCTATTTCCAGGAATAAGCACGTATGCGAATATGGATTATCTTTTCTGGAGGAAGAATGCGATAATGGAACCGGAATTGGACAGGGATCCTTATCCTTGGCTAATCTGGAACATTTGGAAGGCTAGGAATGATAAGCTTTTCAGAGGCATTGATAGGGATCCCTTGGAGTTAGTGCGTTATGCAGAAAGTGAATGTCAAGCATGGTTCAAAGCAAATGAGCAGGAAATTCCGGTCTCCATTGGGAACGGAGGTGAGGACGACCAGGACTTAAACTTGGGTAATATATGCATGGTGGATGGTTCTTGGACCTCTACGAATGATTTCAGTGGTTGTGGATGGGTGCTAAAGAACGAGTTTGGAAATGGCAAATTACTGGGTTTGCGTAATTTTGATCGAGTGGAGTCGGCGTTGCATTCAGAACTGGAAGCACTGCGGTGGGCAATGGAGAATGTGCTTCAACATTCGCCATGTCAGAGCCTTGGAACTGATTGCAAGGAGATGATCGAGATGCTCATGAGCCCTCATGCCTGGCCTAACTTCTCAACAGAGCTGGAGAAATTGGAGACGCTGAAGATCTGTTTCCCTGACTTCAAGATTTTTTATGTACCTAGATTACAGAACGGTGTTTCTGGTTCTTTAGCTAAAACAGCTAGGGCCTTTTACCGCAAGCTTGTGAACGTTGGTTGTTCTATTCCGGTCTGGATTCCCAGACCACCTCATGTTGCTTGAGTAATAGATCAGCCGTTTGATGTCAAAAAAAAAAAGAATTATGGAAATGTTTCTGAGTTAATGTGTGTAAAAGTGATTGAATGAATCCCCCTTTCCCTGCATTTTCTTACTCCTTAAATAGTCTTAAGGTACGAAGATCGTTCCTAGCTGATTTCCGAGATTGCTTCCGTAAGTTGAGGGATTTGTAACAGTTTGATTTTGACCGAG